TGGCAGTCTTTTCCTAATGCCGCCATGTTCCACATATGCCCCCTGGTGGTCAGTGCATGTCATAGAGACCAGTTGTTCGGTTGTTCCGCCATTTGGTCTATTTGCATGTTAACCTTTTATTATATAGGATAGGATTAACCTTTCTTGTTCACATCTCAAGCTGTGTCCCCAGCACTTTCCTATCTCAGCACTACTAAAATACTAATAACTACCTTTTTTTTGCTCCTGAAATTGAAAAATGGCAGTCTTGTCCTACATCCTCCTCCCCATACTCATCTGCCCTCACCCACAGTTAATTATAATTTTATCAAAGTAAGTATTTGTCCTCAAATTTACTTTCTTAAAATTAGCTTGTTGGAGAAGAAGTTTGACTTGTTTTTATTGAATGGTTGTTAAATACTTTGTCCTTTATTCTAAAGGTGATAGGAAGGCATTGGTACCTTTTAGGCTCAGGAAGTAACATGGTTAAATATCCTTGCATAAGCTGTGTGCGCTTTTTACCTTCACCACTTTTATGGTTTTAAGAATTTCACATAGGGACACATTCAACCTGTGCTGTTGGTGCCTTTGAGACATCTGACACACCTCTCTCTGATCTCTTTGTTTCCTCTCTTGTTTCTTCCCTTTATTCCACAACTATCTTTCATTTCATTTCCTTTTCTTCCTCTTCCTTGTCCTCCATTTTTCCTCTCTTGCTGTGTCAGTGGCACCCCTGGGCATTGTTTGACCCTACTGGTTGTACCTGTGTGTTTTCTAGTCTAGACATATTACATGTGGAGAAATGGTTATTCTCTCTGAAATAATACAGGGACTGAGTGCAAAAAGCTGTTGTTTCAGGTGCTCAGAATAGTTCTCAAGTTTGACATTTTTGCTTGAAATTTTAGTTTTTGAATGGTTGTATTTAAGGACTTGCCCAAAGACACAAATCAGACTTTTCAGCTGTTATTTTGTAATGGTGTCATTATGACCAAAGTAGATTATGTTGTAAACTATATACAATAGCATTTGATATTTTATTATAAAAGAAAAGCAAACGTCCTATTTTAAATTTTTTACTTTATTAATTTAGGTATGGATGGCAGAACAAAAAATATCATATGATAAGAAAAAGCAAGAAGAATTAATGCAACAATATCTTAAAGAACAAGAATCGTATGATAATAGGTAAGAAATTCCATTATACTGGTGATTTTAGTTTATTTTTTAAATTTTATTATTTTTTTAAATCCTTACCCAAGGATATCTTTTTATGATTTTTAGAGAGAGAGAGGAAGAGAGAAAGTAGTGGGGAGAGAGAAAGATACATCAATGTGACAGAGAAACATGGTTCGGTCGCCTCCCACATGTGCTCCAACCAGTGATCGAACCTGCAACCTTTTGGTGTATAGGACGATGCTCCAACCAGCTGAACCACCCAGCCAGGACAGTGTTGGTGATTTTAGAATAATCAATTAAATGAAAATGATCCCTTACTGAATTATATATTAAGTTAGCCTTTTTGAATTGAATGTCTTTTTTTTTAATATATTTTATTGATTTTTTACAGAGAGGAAGGGAGAGGGATAGAGTTAGAAACATCGATGAGAGAGAAACATCGATCAGCTGCCTCCCACACACCTCCTACTGGGGATGTGCCCGCAACCAAGGTACATGCCCTTGACCGGAATCGAACCTGGGACCCTTGAGTCCACAGGCCGACACTCTATCCGCTGAGCCAAACCGGTTAGGGCTTGAATTGAATGTCTTAAGGATAGGATTCTATTCCCTCTGAACTATCTTTACTCTTATATTTGTAGATGGCCATTTACCCAAAATTCACATAAAATATATTGATGTGAGTATATATAGCCTATGATCAAGTTTCAACTGAGGCAAAGCTTAGAAGAACAATAAAAGTTTAACACTCAAACTACTGACACTTCTCACAAAAATATTTCTTTAAAAGCTTATTAAAGATCAGTGCAGTGAGAAAGCAGAAAAGATGTTCAGGAAACAGTCAATGATTGAGTTAGATCAATAAAAAGAGTGTGGGTGGAAAAGTAGGTTTACAGCAGATCATAGTGCGGTTATTCTTTATCTTTAAAAAACAGTTACTTTTTTTCCTTGGTACTGAATTAATATTTGAAGCTATGCAAATACCTGTTTTTCCTAGAACTTTTGCCCACTAGTTTTAGCATTTATTGGTGCTAAATTTAGCATTCACATCAATTATTATTGTGGTTTTCTAACGGTGATTTTCTCTTTCTCTCATTCCCGCTATATCTTTTTTAAATATATTTTTTAATTGACTTCAGAGGGGAAGGGAGAGGGAGGGAAAGATAGAAACATCAAGGATGAGAATCATTGATCAGCTGCCTCCTGCATGCCCCCTACTGGGGATCGAGCCCGCAACCTGGGCACATGCCCTTGATTGGATTCAAACCTGAGACCCTTCAGTCCTCAGGCCAGTACTCTATCCACTGA